ACTTTACCTAACAAAGAAAAGGTGAGTCCATGAAATTTTAAAATACTTGCACTATGTCATTGCTCGTCATTGCAGTTTAAATGGTCCATTTTTTTTCTTATCTCAGCCGTGGTGTATCTAGTGATTTAAACTAGAACTGTCAGATGCTGTGTATTTGATGATGAGTTCTCATCTAAATCACACCTGTCTATCTGTTAGATATTTCAACGTGTAGTTCACCATTTGTGGTCCTGTGTTTTTTCCTTTTTCTTTTTTTCTTGAAGATCTTAGGATATGTGTGTACTTTGACTGATAAATTGATACATATCTTGTGCAGTGTAGAAAAGGTTATCATTGCTTTTCAAGGTAGAGTTTTGATTTACATATTCAATTGAGCATTTTGAACAAAAAAAATTCAGTTATTCAATTTAATTAAAGAAAATATAGAGAAAATATTGACGAATACCGAAATAGTATAAAAATACAACACTTTTTGTTCGTGTCATTTTTAAAAGGGAGAATATGCTAATGTGGGCTTGCTCCATTTTTATGTCTAAATTAAACTGGTTTTGTAACGTGAAAATCACTCACCATGTAGCTGTGATGATGCTCTAATAAACACAGAAACATTCAAATTAGCAAAAGTATATAGAAAAAAAAGTGTTCGGATGATTAATTATTATCCCTCTTTAATTTGTTTTTTTTGTTGTTGTTTGTTTGTTTGTTTGTTTGTTTGTTTTAAATCTCCTTAATCGCAATAAAACGGTTCACTTTTTACCTTTACTTCTAAGTTAGCTTCCAACAGAAATAGTATTCATAAAAACACAGAATAGCAGAATGGCATACATAAACATGATGGAAACGTCTTACACTGGGGTTAATATTGGACTGTTCGTTCATGAGGGTCAAGTGTATTAACACGTTTGATAATGTGTGTAGTTCTCGCAAATGTCCACACGGGGACATTGCAGACTTTTCCATTTGAGCTTCCTCTTTGAATGGCTCGGGGCTCCTCCCAGATTCAAATGACGATTATGTTTATCAGGCGATTCAGACAAAGAGACTCAAAGGGCGAAAGAGAACGGTACGAGAAACGCTGATATTCTGCCATAGACCTATTGATTGTTTTCTATTTATGCCGTTACAAACCGTGTCAATTTTTATGCTTTTTCTCCTTGAACATAATTATGACTGGACCGAGCAGATCGAGCTGTGTGTGGATATATCTTGTCTTCGTGCTGCTGGATTGTTACTGGGAAAAGGTTTCTGGGCAGCTCTCTTACTCCGTCTCAGAGGAGGTGAATCTGGGGACTGTTGTCGGAAATATCGCGAAAGATCTGAGCATTAGTGTCCAGGATTTGGAGCCCCGCATGTTTCAGATCGTTGCTGGATCAAAGAGGAAATATTTCGAGGTAAATCTAAAAACTGGAGCCCTCTATGTTAACGAGAGAATAGATCGAGAGGAGCTTTGCGGTGATGAGCCCAAATGCTCGCTCAGTGTAGAAGCTGTTATTAATAACCCTCTGAAACTGTACCGTATTGAACTGTTAATATTAGATGTCAACGATAATTCCCCTTCATTTGAACGCACGTCGCAGGTAATCAACGTAACTGAGAACACGGCAGTAGGGGCAAAATTTCCTCTGCATCAAGCACACGATGCGGACGTGGGGAAAAATTCCGTAAATACCTACAAGCTGAGTCAAAATGAACATTTTTCATTGACTACACATAAAGAAGAGGGTGTAACTCCTGAGTTGGTGCTTCAGACAGTTTTAGACAGAGAAAAACAGTCTGTGATTAAGCTCACACTGACTGCCATAGATGGAGGAACACCTGCTAAATCCGGAAGTATGACTATAATAATCAATGTGTTAGATATTAATGACAATCCTCCGGTTTTCAGCCAAAGGTTGTATAAAGCCAGAGTCTATGAAAATGTTAAAATAGGCACATCAATAATTACACTGAATGCCACTGATTTAGATGAAGGACAAAATGGAAAAGTGATTTATTTATTCAGTGAAGTCGGTCAGGGGAAAAAAACTGATTTGTTTTCTATAGACAAACAAACAGGAACTGTAACGAGTACAAGGAATATTGATTTTGAAGAAAATAATGCTTTTGAACTTCGAGTGCAAGCCTTTGACAGCGCAGTTTTTCCCATGAGTTCACATGCTAAACTACTGGTTGAAGTATTAGACGTTAATGACAACGCACCTGAAATTTCAGTCACATCGCTGTTGAACACTGTTAAAGAGGACGCATCAGTTGAAACAGCCATTGCTCTTGTTTCAGTATTTGATAAAGATGGAGGTAAAAATGGGATGGTGACGTGTAAAATTTCCAATAACGTTCCTTTTAAATTGGAGTCAAATTATAAGAATTCATATTCATTAGTTGTGGACGGTCCTCTTGACCGAGAGACTGCACCTCAGTACAACATCAGCATCACTGCTACTGATGAGGGCAGCCCACCTCTCTCCAACACGAGTGTTATAACTGTTCATGTGTCAGATGTAAATGACAACAAACCTCAGTTTTCAGAAGGTGTGATCAACGTCTACGTGAAAGAAAACAGTCCAGTAGGAGCAGTTATTAAAACAGTGACAGCAGCTGATGCAGACATTGATCGAAATAGTCAAGTGAGCTATTCCTTTTTAAGAAGCAGCAGTGACTCAGTGCCACTATCTACATTGTTAAACATCAACTCAGAGACTGGAGACATAATGTGTCTTCAGTCTTTTAACTATGAGGAGTTAAAAACTTTCCAATTTAAAGTTCAGGCCACAGACTCTGGTGTTCCTACACTCAGCAGTAACGTGACTGTCAATATTTTTATCCTGGATGAAAATGACAACAGCCCCATGATTCTCGCGCCATATTCTGAGGACGGCTCTGTAAACAGTGAGAGCATCCCCTATTCTGCTGAAGCGGGATACTTTGTGGCAAAGATCAGGGCTGTAGACGCGGACTCTGGATACAATGCGCTGCT